AAGCCTGCACAGTAGCTCACGTGATTCCTTACAGCCCATTACTACTACTACCTGTAATGCCCCCGTGGACATCAAATGGAGGTTTACGAGCGAGTAGATCGAGAAGTTTAGCACCGTATCTGACAATGAGGATGAACGCACACAGCGAGTGATGTATTACAATGGATGAGCAGGATCTAGATAGAGGAAGCCTTGCCATGCATAATAGGGTGTTCGCCGTAATCGACACTCATAACCTGCCATCTTCCTAAGAGCCATATATGCCTCCAATGAGTACTACCAGCATGCTCGAAGTTATAGACATCGGGATGCCTGTCAATATCCTCCTCGGTAGCTGGGTAATGGACTAAGTCATCCCTCCATGGTCCGGTACATTTAGACACCTATCACAAATGATGACGGTCTCATCATAAGACGGTTGTTCACATAGTTATTACGAATGCATCGAATTGATCTCGTTGTGGAGTAGTGAGTAGCTCCACGTTGGATTGATTCCTCATCAGACTAAGCTCCTTCTCCTTAATCATCAAAGCATCATCATCATCGATAGTAGAGGATAACGAACGAAGACCTAAGAATACCAACAGCCATGTACATGATAGATTATCATGTGTATAACCTTCTGTTGCATGGGGACAACTCTTAGGTCGGTGACTATCATAATCCTTCGTCACCTCATTATCATCATCACTCGAGCAATCAGGGATCTTCAATGATACTGCTACTCTGTATGTAGGCTTGCTTCGAGAGGATGTCGACTCAGATGTACTTGCTTCCATATTCAAAAATATAAGACTACCACTACTCGCTGAATCTGCGCATATCACGTCATATTGAGATTTTATAAAGTAACGGTAAGTACGCAAGATTCATAAGGAGACCAGAGACTATCATGATGACCAAACCGTCATTCGATATGCTAAATTCAACATCCACTTCACCAGGCAGCCAGTTTTGGCTGAGTACAACAGCGGCATCCAAGCGTAAGAGATTGAGGAGGTTACCCATCCTTCTTCTCTTATTACAGACACCAAATCGACACCATGCCGGTCCATATCCGTAGCATACAGTGAGCACATCGAGACATCTAAGCCTAGAGTGACTGTAAATGAAGGTAGAGCATCTTATCCTGCCCCGTTAGGAACCTTCTGCGTGTGTAGAATTAGGGCCGATACCATTCGAGGCATCACGACAAGAACGCCTCCTCCTCTCATACTCGCGGTCTACTCCGGGGCCTGCCGTACACCAGCAACATAATGAAGAAGAGAACATACCCTCGATGGTAAATGCCATCAGCCGGCCCTTCTACTCGACACCCAATACATCGACGGTCCAGGTTCGGCCAACCTTCCGTACCGCTCCCATAGCAATTGAGTAGAGGAGCACTGTTGTGTTTCAGGAGAGGCTGATATCATATCTACTGCCCTGAGAATACCACTGGATACTGGGGTTCGCCCTTCTCTAGCTTCTCGTACTAAACCGATTCCGCCTATAAACTTCGATGAGGCCGCATTCGAAAGGTCCCCGCTTCACACTCGCCGCGTACTCGATCGGCGGTGCGGCTTAGGTATTTCCGTACCCTCGCTAGCCGATCGGGAGGTCAAAGCACCACGTGTACTCCGAATAAAACTAGGAGAGATGATAGTGCTCACAAAGTAACTACCGCTAGAGCCTCTTCGATAGACTTCATAATGGTAGGTCCAAACACGAATGCCCTCAGCCACTATGGTACCGGAGGCCGCTTCCTGTACGTCGATACTAGCTACCCGATCGGGCATGGTAGACCGATCAACCTCTCCCATTAAGTGGATGAGGGATGCAGGGAGGAGAACGATCGGAGTAGACAAGGCAACACTCACTAGTCCATCTGGTCTGTACAATGGGGAGCTTGGAATGGGAAGCAGACCAACCCACATCAATCATCATGTGGGCTATCGTGAAGGCGACACCTCCGATTGGACTGGAGAGAGCCGGGGGGCTAGTCCCAGGAGTCCCATGGGGCTCCGACCTAGCCCAGCCGACCGTGATGATCTCCTCGAGTCGGAGGGTCGACCGAGAGCCGCGTTGACTGTGGACGTACCATCATCCTCTGATCACGAGGAAGGGCCCGATGGACGGGACCATACCTGGGTGGAGGTTTGTCTAGATGAAACCCCAATACTAGCATTATTCTCAGGTAACCGATACCACTGCTCTCAAGTCCCCTACCATACCTCTGGTAGAAGTAGAGGATCTAGTAGTATCAGTACTGGAGAGGTGTCTCAAGGATACCCCTCGTGGACATCATAAGGGGAGATGTCCAAACGTGGACCGCAGAGCAGCTCGTCGGTACACTCGTGATGCAGCTGCATCTCTACTGGCTGAGGTGGATAGAGGCCATGCTGTTGCCGCTCGTCCAGGCAGGTGATCGAAACCTCCGCACTCTTCCCTTCCTCAAGTATACGATGTAGTCCCATGAATCGATCGTGCTCGTCACAGCATATGAAGCGGGCCCGGCAGCAGACACGGCCGTCGACGTCACAAGGTGAGACGGATGAGGAGTTGGAGATCCGGAAGAGGAGGGCATCGAGCATGAGGGAGACGAAGGAGGAGAGGGAGAGGAGACTCAGTATGCAATTCTAATGGGTCGGATTGTATTGGAAAAACTGTTGCAGGGCTCATACATCGGCCTCCTCGAACGCCTTCCAAGAGAGGGGAGTCCATTGAGCCCGCTGGGGATGCGGGTGCCAAAAAGGAAGTGGAGGAGGAGGAGGAACGGCGGTCCAAACACGGCATGGAGGGATGGTGAGTATTGATGTCGGTGCAAGAGTGGGGCTTGCAGCAGTAGGACCGCAGGTACAGCTTGAGACGGGCACGGAGCCTTGTGAGGGAGAGGGCAAGGAAGGAAGAGTTAGTGCATGCCCGACAGGAGACGACTGCAGCCTTGGCCAAGATCGAAGCTGCTGCCAGGCGTCGGGTAAGCAGCTACTCAATCATTCACTACGTTGATGGTAGTATGGACCTCGCAGGTGGACCGTCAGAAGGGACGAGTACCCAGCCACATAGTACCGCGGCGATACTCCACAACTCCACGTGGTGATGCTAGAGGGCCCAGGAATACCTGTACGACCGGTAGCCATACTGTTGTCTGTAGGGTAGGCCTGAGCCCATCAGACACTACTGTGGAGAAGGGGATACTGAAAGGGATCTCGGACAATGATGAGGACAGCCTCCTCCCATCGACTGGGCTGAGCCTTTGTCTGGGGGAGGTATCAGCAAGCCTGTCCAGAGGTGCCATATCGACCAGACGAAGCTCATCCTCGACCAGAGAGAAAGGCTGCAGTAGTAGGCTATATTGCCTCACCGATGCTGAAGAAGGGCCCCACCGGGCCACCGATGAGGACGGTACGATCGCCTCCGTTTGGAGGCGACAGTCTTCGTCTGCAGGCGACTTATCTCCCCCTCGGCAACTGGGAGCCTTTGATAGTTCTCATGCGGTACATGACAGACTCTCAGCTCAAATGGATATGCTTACTCGTACCTGTTCACCGCACGCAGAAGGCGGAGGCTTAGAACAGGACTCCTCATTAAAGGGGGGATACATGCGTCCACCCTCCCGTGGGGCAGAGTCCTGGAGGCCATTAGGGGAAAGTGAATGGATGGCGAGGGAAGGAGGCCACTACTCTGAAGATGGAGATATCACTCAAACACGTGAGGATAACATTAGACCTCCAGGTAGCTTCCATTAGCATTGATATGCAACGACTCGTGACCATTTCTTCACTCAGCAGCATTCCGGCCGCTCTCTAGGGAAGGTTGCTACGCGAACGTGCCGCTATCTCCTCGTTTACAAGATAATCACAGAGATCATGATGAGGTTCTGGGTTCTCGAGTGAGTATTTACATAAGGCAACCATTCTAAGCATGCATGGTCAATTGAACCTGGTCCCAACGTATGCCTGTTCAGAATGACAGCATTAGTTCGAACACGTGGGACTGCCACACTCACGGCATAGCAGTTTATGAACCTATCGAACGCTCGCGCGACAGGGAAGATTCAACTCCATCTTGTAATGGATACGGCATGTTTCTCAACTTCATCAACCATCTCAAGCAGATGATCTCACGGCAGAGCAGTCACCGACTACATCATCGATCGAGATCATAGGATGCGAAAGTGTCACGAGCATCGTAGACGGGCTTCGCTCAGCATGCCTTATGTGTTCTTCTCCAATAGGATGTTGATATCTCCCCGGATGCAGCGGAACCTTTGCTCGACTGTCCTCGAGAA